AAAAGCCTTCTCCAAGTCCAGGAAGGCAAGATGCACAGCTTTTCTTTTCTCGCGATGTCTTTCCAGCAGAAGGCGAGCGGCGTGTATTGCATCGATGGTGCCGCAGCCTGACACAAATCCACACTGGTTGGTGGAAAGCTGCACGATGTCACGAATACGGCCGTCTACAATTCGCTCAAAGATCTTCATGCTGTGCGAGAGCAGGCGAATTGGACGGTAGCTCGTGCAGTCAGCAGGGCTGCCTTTCTTCTTCCAGATCGGAATCGTCGTGCTCTGTTGCCAGCTCTCAGGCACCTTCTTCTCTGCAACGATCTGGTTGAAGAACTTGGTCAACCATTCAGCAGGACACCAGCATTTTGACTTCCATATGTCGGCCGCCAAATCATCGGGACCTGTAGCTTTTCCTGACTTCATCTTCTTCAGAGCCCTTTCCGTTTCCTCCACGGTTATTCTCTGCACAGGACCGTGCACTGGCGGGACATAAGGGACTGCTGGATGAGCAAATTCTACTGCTGAGATGTTCTCGAAGTAATCGTGCCATCGCTTCACTGCTTTCTTGCGGTCCGTCAGGAGGTTACCATTTTCGTCGTTGATGCCGAAAAACTTCTCGATGTCCCCGTTTATATACTTGTTTACTTGTTTATTTATGATTGCACAATAGCTCGTTTGTTTGCCTGTGTACCATATTCATACTTCCATCAAAGGATGTCTTGTATAGCCAGCAACAATGGTCAATCATCCCTAGGATGCGCCATGCACTTTACCTTACCCAGAATCGCAGTGGAGATTTGGGGCGATTTTGACTGCTACAGTAGCTTTCGGGACTGAGGCCAGTGTTTGATCCCATCATTTGAGCCTACCAAAAGCCAGCCAACACCAGGATATGGAAACCATGATTAGCCTGGACGCGATTCAAGCTTCTCCTGGACCGCGTGATACATGGCGAAGGCTGTGGGATGGCCCTTCCATCCCAGCGCCTTCACCATGTGTTCCCACATGCAGAGGAGAACTTTTCACATTCTACTGAGACATTTAGATTCTGAAGTGGTTTTTTGTCCTCTTCCTGTCATCCACAATGGCTACGTTTCGGACGTGAACTCATCCTGCGAACAGGGTGCCTACTGTAACGGTACCGCCCTACACTACGGATGTGATTTTGGCCAATTGCCAGGAACAATGTCGACAACTATTTGCGTGAATGGTAAATGGAGTCCTTTGCCAAATTGTACAGGTGAGTCCTAGATCTTTTCAGCATGAAGAAAACATAATTATTGATTACTATGTTTAAACCGATGGAAACCAACTTTTTAGCTGGTAGTTGCCCGGCTGTGGAGGGGACGTACCTAAACGCAACCCTTGTCGGAAACCCACCACTTGGACCACTATCTCATGCCGAATACCGTCCTCCGGAATGGTCGTTGGCGACACAGCCGTTTCGGGTATGCGCCATGAATGAGTTCGGTACATCCTATGGCTGGCATGATTACAACTTCGCATTTGAAGGTGAGGCTACTTTAGCGTTACTGCGTAAACTTCTTGCATCTCACACCTTTCAGTACCGATATGTCGATCGTATCCTGTGAAGTACGGTCACTTCGAGAGGAATTTTTACCAAGACGGTGAAACGGCTACGGTGACCTGCCTGGACGGTTTCAGTGTGGGCGTATTGCCGAAGTGTTTCCGCGGTGAATGGACGTCCTACAACGCAACCTGCACAGGTTTGTTCGGTCTACAATAAATTACAAGGTCTAAATGGAAACCTAAAAGACATGACAGATCTTTTTGTAACCTAAATTACAGTACTTAAAGACACAGTCCACGATCAAGTTAATGTGCCAATTTTGCTCGAATACGAATATATAACGCGAGATTAACCGTGATCTGAAAGATTGAGACGTAAGGTTGGCTCCCAGACAATACCTAACCATTTGGGCGCGGCCGCGGCGAACGCGGCCGAGTTGATAGGTGCCCGCGAACTCAGCACAGCACAGTTCGCGGGCACCTCGAGTGCGTTTTCAACGGTTCGCGGGCACAATCGACTCGGCCGCGTTCGCCGGCGGCGCGCCCCAAATGGTTAGGTATTGTCTGGGAGCCGTCTTCACTGAATCTGACCTGTCTTTTCGACGACTATGAAAGTGTTTAAGAAGCGGTACAGGAGAATAAGAGGAAGTAGGCGTTGAAGAGAACGACGCGCAGACATGATAGAGCATGGCGGAGAATGACACGACAGACTAGCTACCGACGGACCAACCAGAAGCACAAAACATTCAGCGTTTGCCTCTGACCTCATTTTAGGGCATCTTCTGCCACTTCTACGCCCAGTATCCCATTATCTACGTCCCTTCCCCTCTTCAGCTTATTCGCAACCTTTCACTCAATTGGTCGTGGGCTCTGCCCTCAAGACCACAAAGTGCTTCAGTCAAGGTTCGCCACCTGAGTAATTCCGTTCCGGATTTCTCACTGGAAAATAATTCCTAGAGAGTGAACAATAGGTCTACATTCGAGACAAAAATTCCAAGTTGCTGAGGTATCGCTCAGACATCACCTCTTATCCTACGATTCCAGAGAACCCGATTCCGGCTGGATCTTGCCAAAATGGACATGTCGTCAAGCTGAACCCTGGCTACACATGCAAATGTAATCCAGGATTCGAAATGTTCTACAAAGACAGCGTGGCTAGCTGCAAGGGTAGGTGATCCTTTTCCATCTATGAACCCCTGCTCAGCTGAGGGTGTGTGCCATAAAGTCACGATGCGAAGCGTGCTGCGGACGAAAGAATCGCGCGACTGTTTATCATGGCATACATTCAACGTGGGAGCTGGTGCAGACGCAGACATGGCGAGATAGCAGGCGCTCAGATGAGGCCGAGTGAAGCGTCGCAAGGGTGTCACTCGGATAAGCCGTCAAAACACCGCGCGGTGATTCGCAAGCGCGCGCGTCGTCGCGTCGTGACTTAAGGCACATTTTGAAAAACGCTGCGGCAACTAGTGTTTAAAAGCACAGAATGCATCAGAGGCACTCTATGAAGGCCTCTCTCGCGGTGTTTTTGATTTCCTGGAAATTTTAAGCAGAATTTCAGATATCGACGAATGTGAACGTGGTTTTCATCTGTGCGACCCGGATGCAAAATGTAGGAATTTGTTCGGAGGCTATACTTGCGAATGCCCTGAAGGGAAGGAGCTTTACACCGGACAATCCGGAGTGCATAACCAATCTCTCATTAGGAACGTATCATGCATTTGTACGTTGAACAGTTCGATCCTCGCGATATAATTGAGCAAAAATGGACTAGTTACAGGGAAGACATGCGCCTTCAGCAGTACTCTACTTAAAAAGGGCTGGATCGCTATGAATCGCAAGCTGCACTACAGGTACTTTCGAGAATCTCGCAATACTGACTTGTAATCGCAACCGGACCGCCACGGCATAGAAAACCACGTCCACATTCGTTCGATATCTGAAATTCTGCTTAAAATTTCCAGGAAATCAAAAACACCGCGAGAGAGGCCTTCATAGAGTGCCTCCGATGCATTCTGTGCTTTCAAACACTAGCTACCGCAGCGTTTTTCAAAATGTGCCTTAAGTCACGACGCGACGACGCGCGCGCTCGCGAATCACGCGCGGAGTGTTTTGGCGGCTTGCCCAAGCGACACCCTTGAGACGCTT